AACCCAATTTTTCTAACCCCGTCTTTTTATTTTTGTTTATTTTATTTTCTTGATTTTATTACAATCACAACAATATATATAATAAAAAAAATTAGAAATTGAAAAACACAAAAACAACAATTTTTTTTTAGTTAATCAGTATTTTATATTAGATTTTTAATGTGTGTTCTTTGCAGGTTGTATTTGGATTCGATTGGCCTTGAATATCCAGTACACGTGCACTTTTAATTGAATTATGCATTCAGCAGCATTCATCCACTCATCTCAGAATGCATTCATCCATCCATTCATCACAGATTTGCATTCAACATCAACATTAAAGTGCAAAAATTTAAAAAGGAATGCGAATTGGAGTCTTGAGTTTCAGAAACTTACCCAAGAAGACTCTATACTACTTGGAAACCCCCTCTCACTCGATCATTCATTCTCACAATTCATTAAAATATTGTTTTACATATAAGTTTGGGGGTGGTCCAGGCACAGAGGGGAGCATATTCATCAAGCCAATACGAAAATTGACCTTATGCACGGATTTTTGGGCTTATGCGTTCATCAATGGAGACATGCAATATACATAACACATTCATGAACTTGCAGACAGTAGACTAAAACCATTGATGCATGAACGCACTAAAATTAGAAAGGACTACTTTACACAGATTTATGCGAGACATAACCTAATTCAAGCCCAAATAATTGCAAGGATGAATTTTACCTTCGAGGGCGTGAGGATGTATGAGACATTTCTTGTATAGATGGATTTGTGTTGGGATTTGCAGTAAAGATGGAGAGAAAGTCCTACACAGAGAAGCAACCACATGCATGAAGATTTCACGAATCAGACTGAATAAGGAAGGTTATTGGACAAGAAATGTACGAGGAGATTTATGGGGCTTACCTTTTGGGTGTCGATTGCAGCACTGAGGTGATACTAAGCTCAAGGAATTGCTAAGACTCTGTGGCTGCATCGAATTTACAATTTATGAGTTTTGGGTTGCAGCGTTACAAAAAATAAGTGTAGGAGGATGCAACGGATCTACAATGATGAAAGTGATTTTGGGTTGTGGCTTGGATTTGAGAGTTTTAGAGAGGAAGCTTTGGTTTTTATTGCAGCAACGAAGGTTTTTCTAAAGGGAACTTTAACAAAAAGCTCCCGGTACTTTTCACTTTAACGAAAAACCACATTTTTACACTAAAAATTCAATCCTGATACTATTCGCTTTACCTTTTATTTTGTCCTTATCTTTAAAACTCAAAGTTTTCAAGCCCTTTTTAGTAGTTTTCCTTTTTATGAAAGGAAGAACGATGAAAGAAAATGAGTGGAGGAGCATTTGGCGTTGGGCTTGAGGTGTAATGTTTGGAGAAGGAGAGCCGTTTGGGCTTTGGGCTCGAGGCAAGGGAGAGGATGACGGATGTAGCAGTTGCTAGGTTTTTCAAATGAAAAATGAAGCTGCTAAACCAGCTTATATTGTAGCTGTTGCTAAGGATTGACACAAGTGTGGACTTGTACGTGTTGGTCACTGCATCTTCATAATTATATTGTAGCTGTTGGTCAGCTCATATTATATATTTTACCCTATTCTTAGTATTTATTGGTTATTTTGTGAGAAGCTTGATACTTTGAATTATATTTCAAATGTAGGACATTCGACTTCTTTTGGAGCAAAAAGTAGTCAAACAGATGAATTTTGGAGTGATTCCAATTGAAGGATGTTCGTGAGTCTGTTGACTTATTCATAAAAAGTTTTATATTTTTCTACCAAGTGGTTTATTTATGGTGATGAAATAAAGGAACAATGTGCAGTGCTGTCAAAGTGACGTTTTGGGTTTATGTGGGCTTTTTGGCGTCCAAAATGATGTCTTTTAGATTTGAGGCCTTCTGCAATTATGTTCGGAACATCTCAAAATTTAATTCTAGCCATTTTGGGCTTGTTTTGGAGCCCGGAAGATCCAGAAACGTGACTGTTTTGAGGCTATGCAGATTTTGGGCGAATTTTACTAGTCAATTTAGGATTATGTTTCCTAATTTATTTTAATTTATTTGGTTTCCTGGTATTATTCTAAGACCTTTTCTAGGTAGGGTTTTATTTTCTAGTAGGATAGGGACAAAGCTCAAAAGCCCTCCCTTGGTGATGTTGATTCGAAAAATCGTCACCTCCCAAACTTAGTATTTATAATGATTCCTATCGCGATATCCAGCGTACCACCTTACTTTGGTACTAGGTATTAAATATTAAACCATGGAAAACCTTTTTCCCCAAACTTACAGTAATGCATCAATTGGATTAAGGATGAGAAAATGTTCAATCATATCCGGAATGGTCTCCAGATTTTAATGTCAGTCTGACATGTTTGAGTTGTCTTGTTTGTTGATTCTGTTTGTTATTTCACCTTGCCCTCATCCTAGGTTAGAGGATTTCAATAGTGCAACATGTAACCTGATCTCATTCTTAGTTCGAATTGTTGATTCATCTCTAGTGAATTTTAAACAAAAGTTTGATAGGGACTTGGTCACCTGTATGTGGGTTGGAAACACTTTCTGAATCCTTTTGTCAGACCTTATGTGTTGGACTTGAGCGTTTCCGATTGGCCTACACTTAGCTGGCTTGGTTAAGGCATTTCCACGTACCAGAGCTCTACTAAAATAAAATTGCTCTTGAGTATTTCCTAGTTTGGATGTCTCCTTCAGACTTGCTTAACACATGGTGTTGTAGAACATACTTGGCTTAGTATGCTGGTCTGGGATAGAAGTGGTCGTACTCGGGGTTAGAGTTCAGAGTCACCCTCGGATGATTTCTGGATTGCTATTTTGACTATTCCCTTGAATGTGTGAACCCGTGTTTGAATGTTATATAACCCATTCCGGAGGCCAAATGGTGCATTGGACTTCCGAGTCAAGGCGCATGTGCCCGTGCCCATAGCCCGCCAATCGTAACCACGCTTATTACGGTTGAGCTTCTCAAGCTGCTAACCATACAATATGGGATAGGCATAATAAAGATTCCTCTTACCACTTCAAATATTTAGACTTGCATTCGTGTGAGGTTTCGTAGAATGCGTATCCCGTCTAAACAATAGATTTAACAAACACTTAAAGTTTATTCTATACTTCAATTAAATAGAACGTAAGGTATTATGATATTCACTAGTATAAATATCTTAAATTGATGATCAAATTCATTCATTGTATTCTTATCGGGCCAAGGAGTGTAGTTGTAAAAAATCATTAAAATCAGAGCTAAAATAACTATTAAATTGTGATTTTTCATTTCTTGTTATCTAATATCCGAACGTTTGTTTTTAATAGTTTTTGGTGTATGAGATCTTAGAGTATATACAAACAAATTTAATAGTTGGATCATGGAAACTAGTTTCACATATTGCAAAAATCATCAAAGGAATATAATATGATAACTATGTTTTTCACTTTGCCCAACGAAACGACACACTAAACCCTAAAAGAGCCAGAAGTGATGGTGGTATAGTTTAACTTCACCACATCGTCAAGATCTAGCTCGATGATTCCTTTATGAGCCAACTTCATGATGAGATCTTTCAGCACAAAGCGTTTTTCCGTCGGATGACTGATGAAGCGATGAAATTTAGAATATCTTGGACTGTTAGTACGATTCATCTGTTCCGACCGTCTGCACTCAGGTAGGTCGATCACCTTTTTGTCGAGCAAGTCTTTCAACATGGTAACTACATCAGAGTCGGGGAATGGATAAGTCTTCTCCTCAAGCTCCTTCAAAGTGCGTCTACGCATCTCTTGATCACGAAAAGCTTCGGTTTGAATCGCCTTGCCTCGTGTAGAGGTTTTTGATGGGAGCTGTGTTGACCGTCATTGCTTCCTCGGTGGGTTTCCACTCGGCCTTATCCACATTTGGCCCAAAACTTTGTCGTTCTTGTAGTCGGCGATTGATTATTTTTTCTCATGATGGGCGATGCTTAACTCTATGTCATGGGTGCGGGGTGGCTAACTCCTCAAAGGTCCATGGTTTGATGCCTTGAAGGATGTAGTGTAACCCCCATTGCATGCCTTGAACACACATTTCGATCGAAGAGGTCTCTGAGAGTCTGTCTTTGCAGTCGAGACTTAGTCAATGACTGGCTCATCCTTCCACTGCTTTGTATTTGTGAGCTTTAGCATGCTTATAGTGTGGTAAGTGTTGTAGAAGCAGTTAAGGAATTTCCGCTCTAACTACTCCCAGCTGTTGATGGACTCAGGCTCTAGGTTCGTGTACTAGTCGAACGTATTCCCATTCAGAGAGTGGACAAATTGCTTTGTGAGGTAGTCTATTTCAGTCCTGGCGTTGTTGTAAGTCTCGACGAAATGGGCGACGTGGCTTTGGGTTTCCCTTTCCATCAAATTGCATAAACTTTGGTGGTTGGTACCCCGTCGACATCTGCAAGCTATCAATCCTCTTCGTGTACGGCTTTGAGTATAGCAGTGCATCCTGCGAAGTGCCTCCTACCTGTGTTCTGACGGTGTTGGCAATCATGTCCTGGATATGCTGTATGGAAAGAAAGCCTATAGGTGTTGTCGCTTGGTCTGGCTTCTCTTCGACTTTCTCCACCAGAGGCTCATCTTCTTGGTCGGCTTATCTCTTTAGTGGATCAACCTTTGGGTCGTAGTCAACTGTTTCGTCATGCTGCGCTTCCAATTGGTTGATGAGTGCGGTGATTTGCAGGTCTTTCTCCTCAGTGGTCCTTGTGAGCCGTGCAATTGCTTTACTTATTTGAGCTAGTTGTTCTTTAATAGAGGTAATGTCGATGGTCATGACTTGTGGAACCGATAGACGCGATTTTCCTTCAGACATCTAGGGTGCTGACGAAGAACCCTGTTGGCCATTTTAGGATGTTATCTTGTGCGTCTCAGCAGCATGCTTCGGTGCCCTCAACGAGGTCAGGTTGATGATGGATTCGCGCCTTTGATGCTCTCATTGCTCCCTTAGTGGCACCAACTTTGAAGTGATATGTTGAGGAGGGTTGTAGAGCCAATGAATTGTCTGTTCGTGTCAAAAATGCTCAGGATCCTTCCCTTGGTGGTTGCGAGAACAGCTTATCCCTTGCCTGATGCCATTGATTTTGAGGTGTGTTCGGATTCCTTAATGGGGAAAGAGATGAGAGGTAGAGATCGTACCGTTGGGCATGCCAAATTTGTAAAAAATAATTTTTTGTATTAATGATCTTGGGGTTACAATCTCTTTATAATTTGATCATCTGATTCGATCTCTGTTAGGTGTAGATTTATGGATTCTGTTGTTGATCCAAAGGGCCGTCAAGGTTTGATCTTGGATGAACAGTTGGAAGTTTCTTCAAGGGCGTTCATGGCTTGATTTTGAAGGTTAAGGGAAGTTTCTTCAAGGGCCTTTGGGGCTTGATCTTAAGGGTTGAGGATGAACAAATCTTCAAGGGCTTTTGGGCTTGATCTTGAAGAACGGTGATGAACGGATCTTCAAGGGCTTTTGGGCTTAATCTAGAAGAACGGGGATGAACAGATCTTCAAGAGCTTTTGGGCTTGAACTTGAAGAATGGATGTGTGAATTTGTTGATGTTGTTGATCCAAAGGACCGTTAGGGCTTGATCTTAAGATGAACGGATGATGAACGATGAACAATTTCTTCAAGGGCCATCGGGGCTTGATCTTGAATTGGTGGAAGTTCTTCAAGAGGGGCTTTGGGGCTTGATCTTAAAGAAGGATTTGGCAAAGAATGACGAGAGCTTTCTTGATCCTTCGGGATTTCCTTGGGAGATTTAGAGTTTCAAAGCTTCAAAGTTTTGGTGTGATGTGAATTGGTGAATGAAAATGAATACCTTGGCTTCCTATTTATAGAATTCCAAAACTTGATTTTTTGGATTTAAATAATCAGATGAAAGAATATATAGTAGTGATAACTAGAAAAAGTATACAAATATGAGTATGAAAAAGCCTCCCCATGTATTGTTTAACAACATTACGGTAATTTTAAGAATTGAAAGTCATATTTTATGTGGTTTCTTTTATCTAAAATATTAGAGATATTCTAAACCACACACACAACCCCCCCCAACGCGCCTGCGTCCAAACTTTAATTTTGGCCAATTTTCCTCCTCAACTCTCATAATTAGTCAATTTGCACCTTACTGTTAATTTTTTTTAATTTTCCATCTATTCTTCCGTTAAGTAGATATCCGCATGACTGCCTTTAAAGGGCAAAAAAAGTCATTTCCCCTCTACCTTCCATTTGATATGCTGCTTTTGCAGTTTGCAGCCCCATCGCCTCTTCCCTCGGCCTCGTCTACCTCTGGTAAGGTGTAGAACTTAACGGAAAATGCCAGTAGGGTGCAAATTGAAAAAAAAATGACAGTAGGGTGCAAATTGATTTTTTTGCCCTTGAAGGGCAGTCATGCGAATATCTACTTAATTGAAGAATAGATGAAAAATTAAAAAAAAATTAACAGTAGTGGTGCAAATTGACTAATTATGAGAGTTGAGGGGGGAAATTGGCCAATCCTTACAAGTTTAGGGGGTCATTTGATGAATACCTCAAAATATTAAGTACGTCTTAAATGATATCATGTCCAAATCAATATAAATTGGGACCAACAAACAATCTAACCAAAAGGAAGAGGGACATAATCAAACTATCCAACTAAAAACAAAAGGACCAAGTGCGATGGAGAAAAGATAGAAGGAAAAAAGAGAAATGTTTAAACCGAATTCGCGCACCATCATGGAGGAAGGAGTGCAAAATGGTCATATGCAAAAGAAAAAAACATATCGTGATTTCCATGCGCATGCGCTGGGCAGCCAGCACCACCATGGTGATTTATGATGTTTGGGTGGGCAAAAATCTCGCCTATAGGGGAAGATTTTGAGGTCTAGGTGGACAACTGCCCACCCTTGTTATTGTATGAATCGGCCCTTGCCTAGTGCTTAGGAACAAAGACTGGGGACTAGGTGAAATTTTTAATTATGAGACACTTTCATACATCCGTTAAGTTTTCCGTCAGAACCTCCGTTAACTGATGACGTGGCACCTAACGGTCAGCCATGGCCACTATCCACTCTATAGCTACTCAGAGCTTCCCTCCCAAACCATAAACCCCGAAAACCAATTACCGGACACCCAAAGCCCATCTCGACCTCCAATTTTCCCACCTCCAAACTCCCAAAAAACCTATCTTTCCTAAGAAACAAACAAAAAAGCAGGTGGCTTCTGAACTCGGTGGTCAAGCGAGAAGAGTGTGATGTGATTCCAGTTCAGAGCTCCGACTATACGGACCAGAAGGAAGGGGCGGTGGTGGCGAGCATGGTGGATAGCGACGACGGGGATCAGGGGGAGTCAGTGAGTCAGGTGGGCGGGTTCGGAGAAAGTGAGATGAGGCTTTCGTTTCAAGGTGCTGGTGGTTTTGGGTCTTCTGGGGTTGGAAATGAGAGGGATAGTAAGGAATTTGAGAGGCTGGTAGATAGGACTATCAATGCCACTGTTGTGCATGCAGCTGGTACTTTTGCTTTTACTAAGTTGATGACCATCGATCAAGAGAGAAATGAGAGGCGGGTGTGCGGAGAATGTGGGTGTAGAGGAGAGAAAGGAGAGAAGGGATGGATGAAGGGGGTTGTGAGGGTGAGGAGTAGCCCAGAAAAAATTATAAAAAAAAGAAGAGTTATTGGGCCTAATAGGTTAGAAGATGGGATAAAAAAGAATTTTAATTTTTTAATATTTACGTGGGCCCATAATCACACGTGACACCCAGTCACTATCCATGTGGTTTCCACGTCTTTAGTTAACGGAGGTTCTGACGAAAAACTTAACACTTCATGTATCAAATGTTGAAAACCAAAAAACTTTACAGTAGTAAACTGATATTAACCCAAAAAAATACGATATTTATATGGGAAACATAAATTGTAAAATGAAGGAATATATAAATTAAAAAGCATCCAACAAATCTTCTACACTTTTTTTTTTTTAATAAATGATAGCGTTAGTATGTTAAACTGTTAGTTATTAAACGGGAAGGAAATCGATGAGGATTGAGCTGCACCAGCATGATTGCTTGTAATCTCCTATGATATGGAAAATGTTTCCAGCTAACAACCCACTTCAAATAGCAAAACATGATGCTGTGGTGACTGTAGCATCATTTGGTGGCAATACTAGGAAGGAATATTGGCGTTGCCCTAGGAAGGTGTGTACCGGCAGCACCTTCTTTTTTTGCTTGATATTAGGAAGAATAAATTACATTTTACCTCCTCAGGTTTGAGTGCAATTAAAACCTCATACAACATCTTCAAAACATTTCAATCTCATATATTTAGTATTATTTTTTTTTTAATTTCATACAACCGTTAAAAAATCTATTAAGTTAACCGTTAAGTGATGACGTGGCAAATATGAGGTTCCTATTTATGCTGATGTGGCTGCCACATTTGTACCACATGGCTAAACATTTAATAAAAATTTTAAAATTTTAAAATAATTAATTAAAGAAAAGCAAACAAAAAACAAAAAAACAAAAAACCCCATTCTCCCATCCCCCATCACCCACCCCTTCCCCCCATTAATTCTACACCTCCATCTAACCCAAAATTCCAAATTCCCCTTCATCTTCCCCACCCGAGGCCACCTCCTTCCCCAGTAACAAGCACAATTTTCAAGTCCTGTTCGTCTGTGGATGTCGGAATCTCGGCGAGGCGTTCCGTAGGATCCGCGAGGGCGGCGCGATGATCCGGATGAAGGGGGAAGTCGGCACCAGAAAAATCGTAAAGGCCTTTCGGCACATGCGTCACGTGGTGGGGGACATCAGGATCTTAAGGAACATGGACGACGACAAGGTGGATCTCAGTGCCGTACAATCTCATGATGTAGATGAAGTAGCTGGGGAGGCTGCTAGTTATGCATTTTTCAGCTGACGGCATGGCGACTTCTGCAGTCCCGATGCTGATGAAGCAGTTGGGGTGCGACGGGGTTTTCGTCAAGTCAAGCATGTTCAAGAGCAGACGACAACGACGACGATGCCTAAGCTCATAGCGTCGTTCACACGTGTCTTAAGATTTCAAAATTGGGGAAACAAAGAAGATAAGATGGATCAGGATTTGCAGGTGTATGAGATCAAAATTGGGACGGCTGGTTGTGCGGGCTTCATCTTAATTTCCTAGAAAGAACGTCGGGCTCCTCTCTACACCTACAGATTGGGGCTGTCCGAAGAGGGCACAGAAGCGGCTCGGTGACGCAGAACTAGCTTGGATTCTCGGGTGGGGAAGACGAAGGGGGGTTCTGTTACTTCTGGGGGAACGGGGTAGAGCCGTGGAGGGGGTGGAGGGGATGAAGGGGTGCTCAGGTGGGGAAGACGAATGGGGTTTCTGTTTTTTTTTTTGCTTTTCTTTAATTAATTATGTTAATATTTTAAAATTTTTATTAAATGTTTAGCAACATGGCACAAATGTGGTAGTCGCGTTAACACAAATGAGGACATTATATTTGCCACGTCATCACTTAACGGTTAACTTAACAAATTTTTTAACGGTGTACGAAATTTAAAAAAAAAATAATACAAAATATATGAGATTGTTGTGAATAAGTGGATGTTCACTCAACTATATGTGGAATAATAGTTGTCCTCCACTATTTTATTCCACTACAAAAAGATGTAGATGCTTTAATCATGCTTCTTATAAATACAGAAGACAGAGGCACGGCAATGCAGAGAAATGAGAGAAAAGCCACAAGACTCATGGCAGAGAGAGGAAGAAGAGAGGAGAGAATAGAGATTTGTAATCTTATGATTTCATATTATATATGAAAGCACTACTGCTGCCTCGATAACGTACTCCAATCACACTAACTGTGGAGAAACCTCGTAAATTTTGTGTCTTGTTTCTTTTATTCCACTGCACACACCATTGATTTTACAACACGTTATCAGCATGAAAAGCCCTCGTGTCAGTGGAAAGCACAACGCCACAAATCCTGTTCACCTCTGTCGCCTGGAATCTCACAGATAAGAAAAATTTTTCATTTCATCTTAAAATCTTTGTACTACTGATTTTCCTGAAGCAAATATATATATATATATATATATATGTTGTTGTATGACTGTATATCATCCTTTGCAGAAGCAAAAGAGTACAGACTCAAAATTCGTAAAGAATCTGACAACCATGTAAACAGCCTCGGAACTCTAGCTTGCAAACATCGGATTGAAATAATTTCTTCTTCAAAGTTGTTCGTCCGCCTAATACCTACAACATATCAAATTTTCAGAAAATTTCAATGGTGCAATCATTGCAGATGCCTGAAATACCAAACCAGTTTTCAATATGAGTACCAAAACTCCATTTCGGTAGCTCAGAAAACTATTTCTTCACGAAAGTTGTTCGGTATCCTCTTATCCATATCATACTAAAATTTGAGCTAAATCTAACGGTTTGATCTTCTTATAAGTAGTTAACACTCTTGTCTCCTGAACTTATAGGAATCGTTTCGATTTTTTCGAAACTCATCGGAGTAACTAAAAGGACTTAGAGTTGTGAAATAAAAACAAAAATAAAAAGAATGAAACAAAAAAAGTGGCAGACCAAGAAAATGAAAAAGCAAAAGATGAGGACTTAATCATTGCATTTTCTGTTTTGGCATATTTATGTGAATGGTGCTTGATTAAAGCCCATGTCATAAGTTCTATTTATTTAAATCAATTTATTTACAGTGGGTAGAATTATTACTCTTTGCTTTAAAGCTTTGATATTTATGTGAATGGTGCTGAATCAAAGCCCTTGTCATAAACTTTATTTACTTAAAAGCAATTTATTTACCATGGTTGGAATTACCGCATATTGCTTTAATTTATTTATTGTACTTTTTTTGTTATGATGAGTACATACTGGACCCGAAGTTCCTTGATCAAATCAGAACCTGAAGTTTCTTGATCCTTGTCACATAAAATGATTGGACTTGAAGTCCATCATGCAAAAAGATCAGACATGAAGTCCTTAGATCCTCAAGATCGGACATGAAGTTCCTTGATGGGTGCCTTAAGTTTGAATAGCCGAAGTGCCACAACTTAATTGGAATAAAGGGCATAAGAGTTTCAATCCATAGGTTATTAAATAAGGACCAGAAGTTCCTTAGTGTATGTAAATGATGATATTATGCATATTTGCTTGAGAGTTTACATCTCAAAGTCTTGATGATTATTGCATATCATTGGGCATTGATGTTGAACGCCATGTTCCTTATGTCCATACCCAAAAATGCTTTAGCAGAAGCATTTATTAAGCGAATGAAATTGATTACCCGTGCTCTGCTCATGAAAATGAAATTGCCAAGCTTCTACGTGGGGACATGTCATTTTACATGATGCAATATTAATTCGGTTGAGATCTGTTGCCAACCATCAATATTTCTCAGTACAACTCGTGTTTGGGCACCAGCCAAATATTACACATTTACGAGTTTTTGGTTGTGTTATACATGTGCCTGTTGTACTGCCACAACGTACTAAAATAAGGCATCAATACAAACTGGGAATTTATGTTGAATTTGATTCACCATCTATCATTCAACATTTGGAACCTTGATTGGGGATTTGTTTACCGTGTGGTTTGCGGACTATCATTTTGATAAGACAATTTTCTCGCTGTTAAGGGGAGAAAATAACTTCGTTCCAGTAGAACGATGAGAAAATATCATTCCAGAAGAACGATGAGAAAAGACTGTTCCAAAAGAACAAAGAGAATTTGTCTTATTTTGATTCATGAAGCAATCAATATAAAAATGAAGCGAGAATAATTGAATGATGCAACAATATGCAAATCAAATGCCAGATACATTTAATGATGCAACGAAAGTCATGAAATCACATATACTTGCTGCAAATGTGCCTATAAGAATTAATGTCCTTGTTGGACAATATAATGAGGCAGTAAATGATTTATCTCTTGCGCGCTTGAAGTGTGGTAGACCTTTAGACTCAAAAGGTTTAGTCATTTGAAAGAAGAAGAATATGGCACTACTGAACTATTGCATTCCCGAAGCATAACTATTGCATGCAAGAAGCATGACAGTCGCTGCATGGATATATGTCCCAGAAAGGACAATCCGCGGACATAGGAATGTTGATGTCTCATGCATGAAGCATGATAGACATATAGGCTCCCATGACTCAACTCCCGGAAGTGGAGATTACTATCCAAGCTCTATAATGCTCAAGAGGACTGCACACACCATCGATTTTACAACAGAGATTGAAATATTTTAGATGTTATATGAGGTTGTAACTTCATTCAAACCTGAGGGGTAAAATGTAATTTACCCTATTAGGAATAATAACTAGCATTGCAGGATTCTTGGGAAATTCGTCGGCTGGTTGGTTGATTTGATTTTTGAATTTGCATGTACTGGTAGTAGTACCACCTTTAGAAATGAGGGGCTTCAATGCTACATGGCACCAATGCCAGATGGCTTCACTTCATCCCTCCAAGTTATGCATCATCACTAACCAAAATATTAGCAATATATGATGTGCCTGTTTCTTTGGAAAATATGTGATCCTCACTAATACAAAATCTACGTGGTGCGCATGTTAAGTCAATTAGAGCACACTACGTCTACTAACTCGCAACCGAACTCGGTCGAGTAAAATGGTTGTGGTGATAGTGTTGAATGCACTGCTAATTAACGTTTGAATCAAAGCGATGGAAATGAAGGAACGTCTCTCGGCCTTGGGTCCTAGAAACTGAAGACAAGGTTGCTAGTTTTTGTGAAGTTAAATAAAGGTTCGGCTTTCAATGTGTTAAACACTGAGTAACTCGGTAACACATCACTTCATGCGAAAGGTTGATGAGATGACATGTTTCAATGAGATGACCTTTTTCCATGAGAAGACCAAGGACTCGCTAAGCCGAACTCAAAGTAGTGTTGTTACTCCAAACTAAAGATGTTTCTGGATCGCTTGATGACTGTTAATCCAAACTGAAAATGCTGCCGATTGTCAACACATTATTGGTAATCCAACTTGAAGGCAGTGACGAAGCCATGATCTTTCTTCACAGGAGGCCTTTCACAAATCTAAAACTTTATTTTTTATAACACCTAAGATATGATGTAGATTGATTGTATTTTTATTTATTTATCTCAAACTGCATCGACCATATAGTCACTTAATCCGATTAATATTTAAGAGCTGAGCTTAAGAAAAGAGACAAACAATGGAATAGAAGTTCAAGCCAACAACCCTTAGCTTAAAAGCATAAATCCTGACTATTAGATTTAGTTACTGTGCTCGAAAACGTCAAACTAGATTAATCTCCTCCACCAAAATGTGAACTTCAAGTAATGAACAAGTAGAAGAAGCTACATCATTATACTTAGAATAAGAGAATCTCATATCCAGGAACTCCAAGATTGCAACTAAACTTACCAGAAGTAAAACAAGGTTATGCTTTATCTTATACATAGAAATGAAGATAAAAAATTGCAAGATAGGCCTAGGACTTCCCTAGTCCCTTAGGGTGCGTTTGTTGCACCAGAGTATTGGGAACTGGATTAGCTTTAGGGACTAAGCTGAATTGGTTTAGACTAAACTAAGCTCGACTGACTTAGTGAATCGTTTGGTGCAGAGTGAGGCAGAATAATTAACAAACCCTAATATTATATTATTTAATCTATATATTAATATTATATTATTAGTATACTTCATTCTTTTTTTTTTTTTATAACAGTTCTCCATTTTTCTATTCTCTCCCTCCCCATCTTTTTTCTCCGTCCAAAGCAACCCAGTCCTCAGATCATCCCAATCGCCATCCAAACCTAGAAATAGAATCTTGGCCTCCTTTTACCACAACCCGTAGAAGCAGTCTAGCAGAAACATGGCGGCGGCTGATTCATGGAGTTGAAGTTCCTTTATTGTTATATG